GCACAGTGCTGCTCTCTTCGACGCGTCATCCGCAACTTCAAAATACATTGCGCTACGCCAGAACTGGATAGATATGCCTCTGGTCATAACAATCGCTGAACAGAAGCTCGCATGGATCGAGTAGTCCATAATCGTATCGCCAGTGATGATCATAAGAGTATTGCCCACGTCTCAAAGATATCCACTAGCATTTCATTCGAGTGTCCATGAAACTTGGACTGTATGAACGCTGCCAGTCTTCCTCCATGTGAAGTATATGTTACCACCACACACACCTGTACTAGATCGCGGAGTGGCAAGTCGATGACGTGATAGAAAATCATGAAAGTGAAAGAGATCTTGTTGGAATGCCAATTGACCGCATCGTGGATGGGAGTCCAGGGTCTGTCTGCAGTTCAGTTGAAAGGCTACGATCAGGACATCGGAGTGCAGTCGATTCAGTTGAAACGAATTAGGTTGATAGAAAAGCAATAGATAACAACGACAAGAAAATGAGGTCAAATGAACAGAGAACTTAAAGGGAGCTGAGAACAAAGAGCGCAAAACTAATCAGAATAGAATACTAGTGGCCAGATGCAAGAAAACGGAATGTCACTGGACTGTGGACCATCCCGAGACCCACATCCACAAAAGTGCCATCTACACCAAGCTTTTTTATCCAGTCACCGACTGGCCGCCTCGCGGTTTCGCCCAACATGGTGCAGCCACGGCGTAGAATGCACGCCGAGGAAGCCGGTAAACGGGCATACGGAAGACATGATTTGGCTAACACTCAACTGAGGCAACAGAAGGCTTCTTGCTAATAATCAACTGGCGGACCTCAGCATTGCTCACCTGGTGTTCCAACCAAATATGAGCGATACTCCGCAAACATCCGTGGTCAAATACGGTCAAGCGTTAAAAGGCTTCACTGCAAACTGGCCAAGTCTTTGAACCATATATTAATGCCGGCCCTATCGCAACGTTATACACCTAACCTTTCACTGATAGGCTAATGACCCACTGCTTCCATAGATGGTTGAGTCTCTGAAAAGCTACATGAGTCTTACTGGTACACGAAGCCACTTTCTCAGTAACATGACCACTAGAGGTGACATAACTACTAAGTCAGGTGAACCGATCCACCACTTCCAGTGGCTGGTGGTGGCTAGAACCTGAAAGGCTGCAGTCGCGGTGCTTCTGAATTCCGTCTAACCGTTGACTCTCCAAGTATAATTAAGTTAGGCTTTTCCTACCCCTTCCTTCGTTCTACTTGTCTACCCATATTGCCCCCCATATACCTCGCCACTGTCAATCATTATTATTAGTAGTAGTAGTAATAGTGGTATTAGTATCAGTGTTACTGTTATTTGTAGTCGAAGAACCATCCCAGGTCATAGCAACGGAATCTATTGAACACGTTTTTCGAATCATAGCTGCTAACTGTATTGAAGTGAATTGGGTAGGGGAGAAGGAAGTGCTTTCATATCAAATCTCATATGGACGATTTTCCAAATCCAGAAATGGTGCTAATGAAAGTGACAACCAAAGCTAGTGGCTTTTGCCTCCTTTAGCAGCTGAGGAAGGCGCACAAAACTCGTAATAACCATGAACATTAAATGTGCCCAACATACCAACGTAATCGAAACGTAAACGTACCATCCTTTGCGGGACAGCCTCAGTGCGCGATTCAGCGCCCTGGGTGCTGTTGGCAGTAAGCGCGTAATTCAAACAGGGATGCAGATTAGAAGTCACAGCAGAGCCATCAGAAGAAGTGAAAACGGAAGAGGAGACTGACTGCGAAGGGAGATTGTCCGACACTGGCTGCTGAACAGGGCGTAAAATGCGTATGAGGGAATTGGAGCCCGGTGCAGGTACTATCTTGACGACGCCTGTGCCAGATGCATGAGCGGTCGTGGCACGGGGGGCCAAGAAGCACAACTGCATTCCAGAGGACGCTGGGGTGTTGGAAAATAGGTTGGTCGAATAGAAAGATTCCGAAGTTAGTGCCGGTGTATCCTGAGTGTAAACAGAAGTCTGTGGACTAGCCGAAATGTAGCCGGCATTCGACGGAGCGGACTGCGTCCCAGAGGATGGGTGAAGAGAGGATTGAACACTAGAGTTAAGAGAATATGGCTGTTGTGGGCCGAGTTTTGGATTCGGATTGAACGGCCTAAATAAACACAAGATAAAATAGAGAACAAAGAGAATAAAGAATAAATAAATAAAGACCAATAAGAGCGACGCGTAATTTCTCCAAGCTTTTCACAGGCCGCATCAGCGGAAAGACGGAACAGGTGTTAAAAACTAGTTCACGGTCACAGGTTTTGGTGGAAATCAGGTACAAAACTAAATAGTTCGATGTTTGGTAGTGAGGAAAATAGCAATGGACAAAACGCTTTAGGGAGATTTGCATCATCGTAGCAGTAGTGCTGTGTAAAGTGGCCGATTTTGGATATACAAATATAAATTCCAGAAATTTCATATTACACATGTTTCGCTAAATCATTTCTCCCGAATATACATATTAATGTTTTCAAGTTAAACATAGCGGCGTCCGGAACTAGGTTGTAGAACTTTGTCATAGATAGCACCCGGAAGAGCACTTCCATTGCAGTGACCTCAGCTACCGGCTGTGCACAGTGTTACGAAAAATCGTATCAAAAGTGAAAAAAATTGTAAAACCGTTTCCCATTTCTAAGTTCGCATGCCATCACACATGTTATTCGCAGTCACTTAGCACCCCTTACTTTGTAAGCTCGTGTCTGGCCAAATGCCCCCCCCTTGGCTACCGTCCGCCGTTTGCCTCGAACCCCTGCCGGCTAATCCCTGTTTATTTACGTTCACTGAGGTCAATAGTGTTGTTTTTCCCTTAGTTGCTACAATTGTATGTGCGAGCAACTGTGTCCAGTGGAGAAACATACCGTGCATTCTCTTATTTGATTGCTTCGAGGTCTATATTATGGAGGTAAGAACAACACTTCTAAGAAAAGAGGTAATGAGGAGCAATATGGGGACACCGCAACTAGTGCTTCCACATCTTACAACATAACTTCCGGTGAGTTAATATCAGGTCTTTCAAATGGCAACAGAGATCACTTCAGCTAGTTCCTGAACGAAGCAGTGATGCCATCGGAATGCTGTCACATATAACTGCTTTTCGGAACAGCCTGGAATTTGGCGATATTTATTGCAGAAATGGTTGGTGCACCTACAGGGGATTTACGCTAGGATTATATGTACGCTTCTGCATTGTGAACACGCACGCATTTTGCGTTGTGTACTTCGCAGCGGTTGGTCAGCTGGCGCGCTTCGCCATTGGTCCATACAGCTGGACGCTGATAGATTCCGCGAAAGGTGAAACTGTCAAAATGCGTGTGGTTCGCTTTACTTTCACTTTGATCCAACTGGTCCCTACCATATGGAGTCAGAACTAATGTGCACACTAGGTATCCATACTAAAAAAATTCTCTGCCATTTTGTACATTTAAAAATTACCTGTGAATCACGAGCAATGATGATCTACAGCAAAGAGATATATTACCATTTCGGAGATAATATCAAGGGCATCAGCAGTATGGCAGTATACCGTACTGACGCTTCTCTGCCACGCAACTCTACCACCAGTCACACGTGCGCTAAGGTTACTGCGAAGTTCGCCCGGTCCCCTACGCGGGCTCGAAACCGTGACCTCCGGGTTGAAAGGCAGATGCATTGTCCTTTCGTCCACAGGTGGATCAAATGAGAGCTGGGTTAAGAATGCTTGCCGCGTAAACTCTTATCAGGCCTAAACGTTTGGATTTGATGGGAGCTAACGCGAAAAGTAATTTTAACAAAGCTCTCATTTGGTCATGATTTTGTCACTAAAAACGCATGTCAAGGAACCGTCCGAAATGGCGTGTTGTGTTTCTTCGGTCTCGCCCTATCCCGCTTATCTTCTCTTTTCAACTATGATCTCTACCTTGAAGCATAATATGTTACTAAACAGTGTTTAACCTGTTTTTTATTGCATTTCACAAGGTTAGTATCTCGATTTTTCGAATAGCCGATTTTTTCATAATGTGGCACAACAGTTGATGCGTGTCTCTCATATTAACCAGATGTCAAGCAGGATGATAACCAAATAGATATGTGTCTAGCATAACGCATTGACAATTTTAATGAGACAAAAAACAGAGGCAGAATGAAGGCATCAGCATTACGCCGATACACGGTACCGATGCTTCGCTGCCGCGCAACCACCACCGGTCGCACGAAGGCTAATGATACTGCGCGGGTCGCCCAGGTCCTACGCAGGCTCGAACCCGCGCCGTCAGAGTACCAGACAAACTCGCTGCCGTTAGGCTACGAGCCGGCAAATAAAACGCTGACGCAAACACCAACCACTATGTTACCGGTTAACCTGTAATCGACTTGCAATGTGTATGTATACTATTTGACCAAATTGTTGGCGCTGTATCAGAAAAACCTTTTATTTTCCCAACTATGCCAGGTGTACCTTATTAAAAACGAAAACACACAATTTACCGTTAGCGAGTAAGCACGCCAGGCGTACTCGATGGGTAGCCGAGACTTGTTGAGCAGATGCGGAATCAATGCTTACCACAAAGGAGCTAGATTAACGAAGATACGATTTTGTGAAAAGCGGTGTGCAACTGACTGCCTCCCTTACCCATTTGTTCACATTGCTTATTCTGGTTAGCTGAAGCTGGGTGAATGAGGTCTGAGAAATGCATCCATAAAGTAGTGTGACTGTGCACTTAATGCTTGCAACTAATTCTCCTTCGCAGTACCACGAATCCCAATACAATTCATTCGCTCTGATTGGGTAAGTGTAATTCTGAGACTATGTACCCGCAAAACGACCATTCAGTGCGACGTTTGGCACCTAAAGAAAATGAATTGGTGTTTGCTACCACGGCCAATATGTTGGTAGTATCGCAGACAAGAAGTGCGGTGTACTAAAATGAGTGACCGCGTGTTGCAACATGTCTAACGCTAATTCCTTAACGATGCGTCAGAATTGGTTGCACATGAGGTGATACAACATCACCTTCTACTCAAAGTAATACAAATTCGCCCTTACGGATTCCATAAATGCTATGTCGATTCATAGCTGCCGTAATCGGGAAGTCCTGACGCCGGAAGGCCAACCGCTGTCATCTGCATGGCAGGTGCCTGCATGGCAGTGCAGGATGAGTCGGGCAATATTGCAGTTAGCTAACAATTCGTGATGGTCGGCTGCCGTCCTCCATGGCTCAGCTGCATAAGCTGCGGGCTAGTTGGCACAAGCCACTGGCAGTTATGGGTTCGATCCTCCGTAGAGGACCGAAGGATGCGCACCACTAACGAGTCCCAATAGGGTGAAACGGCCGTCTGGTGCTTTTCCGGATAGGTAGTGGACTTATCTGAATTGTCGGCTGACTGAGACGAACAAAAATACTCAAAGTAATACAACATGAAATTTGAGTATATGCCTCAGGAGAGTAACAATCGATGTGAGTGGAAGTGGGATGTACAGCTCTGGCGAAAGTATCGGGATGAAATAGTTGTTCAGTCTAGAAACGAATTGGGACCCCGCGAACAAATTTGGAGGTTTGTTGTGTTACGCAATAACTGGGATGAACTAATGAAACAAAAAATAAGGTGTCAGCCGTAAGCTGTAATGGCGCTTCGCTGCCGCGCTACCACCACCAGTCGCACGTAGACTGAGTATACCACGAGGACACCCACCCCTACGCGAATTCGAACCGGTGACCTTAAGGTTGCAAAGCAGGCGGGCAGATACCTCGGTCACCGGCCAACAACTAATAAAATACACTATGAATAAGCTCAATGAACACTGCTGTGTGAGTAATGATTAAATAAATCGCCAGCTGTACGCCGTAACGGCGCTTTGCTGCCACGCGACCACTATCCGTAGCGCGTGGGCTGAGTATACTGCGACGCTGTGTGAGTGCTCTCTTCGTATGCTTAAACTTTAGTCGAATAGTAACGCTTACCGCAACGCGATGTTTTACAACCCTGCTCCATACCGGCAAAGGTGTCTCCCGCAAACTCCCACAACGGTCCAGGAGGTCTTGCGGCCCCTGCTTGAGCATTCAGTAGGCTCTTCGGTGACCTGGAGTGGTTCCGAGGGCTAGTCGATGAAAAATAATCAACCATATTCACCGTCCCATTCCAGTATAAACTGATGGAATATTGAGTCAGTACTGTAGTAGGGCTGGGTAGTTATAAAGCCCAAAGTGATTGCCAATGATGAATTCACAATATCCAACAGAGCTATGCCTGGCCTTGTTTAGCCCGAATCGCAATCCAATTAAAACGGAAAGGAATGCTGTCAACTATATAGGCTAGAAACTGGGTTTCAATGTTCAACGGGAAGGGGCAACAAAGATTCCGTTAAAATAGAACAAGAATATGGTTTCAGTTATTTGAAATAAATGAGAATATCCGTAGCTCGGGGTGTGGATGCGGATTTTGAGCGGTTCTCCGAGCTCTGGTCTAATAGCCGAGGCAGTGATGCACGCGCTGGAACAAATAGCACTTCCGATCGCGAGACCAAAACTTTGGGTACGATATGTAGACGACACCTTCGTCATCCTCAAATGTTCCAAATTGGAGGAAACACACGAACTAATCAACAGTGTGTTCGATGGCATCCAATTCACCAGGGAGAAGGAGAAAAACGAGCAGTTACCATTCTTAGACGTTCTCATACGACGGACTGGTGCTGGACGATTGGAAACAACAGTCTACCAGAAATTTACGTATTTCGACCAGATCCTCAACTACAGCAGCAATCATTCGGCAGCCCACGAACGCAGCTGCATGCAAACCCTTTTCAAACGAGCACAAACCCACTGTAGCACACCGCAGCTGAGACGGGCAGAGGAAGATCATCTCTTCAATCTGTTCAAGCGGAACTCGTACCCAAAAGGCAGCATTCTACGCTGCCTCGCATCACAAAAGATTGCTCGACACACCTAGACAAATGCAACAGTTGAAAAGAAAGCAACTGTGCCCTATATCAACGGAATCTCTGACATGGCAACGAGGCTTTTACTGCTTTTTGAGTCAAAGTTGCATACCAGTCAACGAAAACAATTCACAGCAAACTCTTCAAAGTGAAAGATAAACTTAGCAAAGAGGAAGAAACTAGTGGGATTTATACGATCTGCTGCCGGAACTGCGAAAAATACTACGTGGAACAGAATGGAAGAAAGCTTGGCACATGACTGCACGAACACAACCTAGTCATTCGTCGCCACGATCAGAACTCCCTGATGTCAGTGCATATAGATGCCGAGAATCATCTTTTCGACCTAGAGCACGCCAGTATCCTCGGAAGGGCTAAAAGCTGGCAAACACGTGAGTTCATTGAAGCCTGGCATTCAAAGCAGAACTCGATCAATAAGCACTTGGACATTGAAATCGCTAACGATGCACTGCGAACCAGGCCCCTGAAGCCGCACTGATGATGTTGCCTAGTCAGGCAACGAAACGTCTGCACAATAATCACTCAACTCGGAGAACCGCTCAAAATCCGCATGGTTTCAGTTAGTTTCGGCGTAGAACATAAATGCTTAGTTATAAGTAAAAGTGGAGAACAGGTAGATGAAATAGGTGGAAGAAAATTATAAACCTGGGAGATGATAAACAAAATAATTGGCTATACTATCTTACCGAAAACCAGATGATATGCCAAGTTTATAGGTACTAGCGTTCAGCTCTGGCATCATTAATTCATCGGTGTCGTCATCGTCTTCGTCATCATCATCTGCGACCCCTTGGACGACATCCACACTGGAAGACATCGATAAAAGAGGGTGACGATTGATAAAGTTGCCTCCGACATGTTGGTGTGAAGTGACGTAAGTTGCGGAGCATGCGGAGGGAACGGTAGCTGAGGATCCAGAAGAGAATGGGTATCGCAATGGCATCGCATGTGTTTTAGTCTCATCGACTGCAGCAGCAGCAGCAGCAGCAGTCGAACGGTCTGGGGAAATAAAGCTCTCGTCCAAATCGGCAGGGAGCATGCTAGCCCACGTCGATGATACTGGTTGACGACGTGACTCTAGTAAAGCCTGTCTTTCGGTTTGCCGGGCTAACTTGGCAGCCTCACGAGCGGCCTTCTGCTCCTTGAAACGTTCCTCACGTTCATGACGCTTCAGTTCACGCTCTTTCTCCATTTGTTCTGGAAGAGTAATAAACGGTTATGATTTAGAACTAAAGCGACTCACAGGAAACGGACGACGGGGTAATTCGGTTAATGCAAGCGAAGTTCAGTCAATGGAGACAAAAGAAGGGAGGTACGAGCGACATTCCCAGATCAGTCCCACAGAAGAAGCATTGGGATATGAAGCGACTCTAAGAGCTCAAGGTGCCTTAGCAAACTTGTGGACAGTAAAAGCATGAGTACGACGGACAGTTTTAGAAATTTTGGGAAACAGCATACGAGAAACACGTATCATACTTCGTACCTTTTCTGAGTTGTTTAGCCTTTGGACCGAATGCAGGTAATTCGTCAAAGTTTAGAAGCTTTATTCCCGATTTTCTACCGTTCGCAGTGGCAGGTGATCGATTCACGAGTCGCTCAGAAACGTTCGGTGTGCGATTTTCTCCGGGTCGTTCAAGCATTTTGCCAGTGGGCCGAGACCAAGTAGAGTTTTGAGTTCGATTTGCAAAATGATTCCGTAACTCTGAACTGATCTTACGTACATTACTTGAGACACCACCGCGGAGGTTCTTGTTCGATTGATTTGCCAGGAACAGAGCCCGGTCTACATCGTGCGGATCATCCGCTTCTTCGGAACGGGCGAAACTACGACCAGGTATGGGGACATGAACACGTCGACGCTGACATTCATCCCTCAAGCGCTCCAAATATGAATCTTTTAACGCTAATGATTGCGGTTTTCCGCGACACCGAAATCCGAGTGGACGATGAGAAGAGGTAGTTTCAGCGGAGGACACTCGTTCGATGACGCTTGAGCATCGTGGTAGAGTTGACTTTTTTACGGAAGATAATACATTGTCGCCTAAACACTCGGCCAGGAGTGGAGTCTCGACTACCTTCCAGTCGTGTGATGATTTCAAAAGTTTCTCAATGTTCTTCTTAAATGCTTCGTTTGTTGGTGAGATGTCAAAATTGAGATAGTTCAACGACTGCTTGCTATGTAAGATCGTTGCAACGGCTTTCACTAAATTATTCTCCTCATCAAGTGCTTGCAGAAAGATGCTTTCAATGTGTTTGTTAAGCTAGAAGGAGAATCAAAGGAAGAATAGGTAACAAATGACGGATATACAAAACAAAGTTTAAAATCTTAACAGCGTATCTGTTATATTGTCCCAGATGACAACAAAAATGAAGTGTCAGGAGTCAATAGTGAAGGTTAAGTCGCTTCGCCACGGTCATTAAAGCAACCCAATTCTTTGTTTTCTACCACAACACCCAAAGATACCGAGTAAAAATTTTATGGTCACCAGCAGGCTGTGTCTATGTTGAAAGTAGAAGAAACAGGGTATATTAGCAGACTGTCCCATGTATAGTAGCTGAGATTAAAGGTTAAAAAATTTGCAGTAGAGTAGTTTAAGGGTAAAATGCTCCATCTGGTGATTCACGAGTCTAAGCTGCAGCTTCTGTCACTATAACCCAATTCTACGCTCCTGCATGGATTTAGGCATCGTAACAGATCGGTTGTAGTTGTGTGGCGCCAAATTCGCAATACAAAATGCAGGTGTATGACTGAGACGTTACCTTTACCGGCCCGTGGCCTTAAGGATCACAAGCCTGCCTATTAATCGGAGGGCGCGGGTTCGAGCCTGCGTAGGGACCGGACGACACTCGCAGTATCCTTAGCCCACGTGCTACTGGGGGTGATTGCGCGGTAGCAAACCGACAGCAGTGCGAAAAGGTGTCCTGGTGATGACTTTCTTTTCTAATTGTTCTCAGCCAGCTTCCAAATCAGATAGTCGCCCACATGCGGTTAACTGGGAACATGAGCGCTGTTACCGAAGCTTATGATAGCATTAAAGTAATGCGGTCGAGAAGCGAGGCAATATGGCCACGCGGATCACAAAAAAGATTGTTTGTAAAATGCGTATTTGTAAAGATGTACAAAAGAAATGCGAGCAGCTTAGGTAGATCGTTACTACATCACCAGCTGCGTTGAACAGATGAAGATATCTCTTGAAGGTATCTAAGGTTGTTCCGCCTCAATGATACGTTGCGTTTAATAGAATTTGCAACTCCCAATGAAGTGCATCCGATCCGCAGGTTGATAGTCCGTGGACTAAATTGCATTAGACGTTAATTGGAAACGCTTTAAAGAATTCTTCAGATTCTGTACATACCAAGTGGCCGGTGGCACGTCTGATAAAAACGAACTGTGGCACCGGACTTGTACGGAGCACCCCAGAAGTATACCCAACGTCGGTCAAGAAAAGATCCGAAAATATACGGGGTAGTAGGTATAGCTATGTCAAACCAACGGTACCAACTGTACTGTTGGATGTCCCCAAAAGATAGTGATGGTAACACACACACGGGTGTGGATACGACGTGACAATGCTACCAGCTGACGTGATTCTTTGCGAGATCTCGCCAACCGCAAATGACAGGGATGTCGTAAAGCTCTACATCAGCAGCTGGTCGAATAATGGAAGACAGTGGGTGACACATCATCGGCGGCCGATGGGCGGAAGGAATGCGCACATGCTTTGTACTCCCGAGGTCACCGGTTCGAAACCGCGAACGACCTAGCGGTATACACCCAGTCATAGCGCGACTGGTGGTGGTGGTTGCGTGAGAGCAAAGCGTCGATAGACGGTGTGACGGCATACTGCTGATGCCCACATTGGCACCGGGGACTTCTAAATAACCCGCGAGTGAAATACAGCTGAACTCGGTGATCACAATTGTCCGCACTGCAGGTGCTATGGCGTTAGTGACCATCAAGAGAGTCTTATCGATGACAAAGTGCAGATCGTTGCAGAGGTTGGTGAATGAATTGCAGAAAAAAGAAGAACACCACCATCAGTAAACCGGTGTAGCTGTACTACCAGTCTATCACCGCCAGTCGCGTGCGAGTCAGTGGTACTGCGACGTAGCCCGTGTCTCTACGCAGATTCGAACTGGAGACCTCTGAGTTTCGAGGCAGACGCCTTATCCATCCGGACACCGGCTAACTGGTCTTCACCTGAGTTATGGTGCAAGCCATGAGGGCACATCCCTATAAAACGAAGTTTCAGTATGTGATAGCCCTTAATGCTGGACAATCCCACTGAATGTTCTAGACCGGCTGCGAAATTATTTTCTGAGATAGATCCAATCCTGCACATGGGTTTAACATAGTCGCCAAAATAATAGAGCTAGCAGGTCCTATAGTTATGCATCCAGCAGAGGAGACCTGAAAGTTCCGCTAGAACTGCTGGCAGTGAAATCAAAGGTACAGTCGTGCTGGAGTCTTGTAAATATGTTTCAATGAGGCAAAAAGCATCGACAATGGTCTAAGCTGTATATGCGTGTGAACCCCAAAAGCAAACAACTTGAACCGAAGACGGGTACTATGTGAAGCTTGCTAGCATATTAAAGCAATGGATAACCGCTTCATGACGGCTTGCCGTTGCGGAAACGCTGTAAGCCTAAATAGAATGTTGTACATGAGGTTTCCATTCCCTTGTATAACGTGGTGCTATGACCTTACTTGGAATACTGTGTGCAGGTTCGGGAACCATATCCCGGAGGAATGTTACTTGTATGGAAAGGTTAAAAAACCGACGACTGGGATGAAGGATGACCAACATGAACGGACACATAATGAGCGCTTAAGGAGCTTAAGAATTTTTCCCTGGAACGGCGCAGATTGGTAATGATATTCCAGACTGTGAAGGGTCACGGTGGTGTTAGGCCTGCGGATGTGTCTGAACTAGCTACCTCCGACTACTTGTGGAAGATGAACTTCAGTTTAAACATCAGAGGCCTACGCTGGATGTTGTGTGCGAATTATTTCGCGGACCGTGTAGTTTGAATGGGCTTCCCCTACCTCAATGGAATGTAATACCGTAGAAGCCTTCATGATAGATCTAAGCAAGTGTCGGTCGAATCTTTCTCCAGGATTATCATAAGTAACTTGAGAATTATCCTTGAGACCTCGTCGGTTTATGATAGTGCAGAAATTGTTCTTGCCCTTGCTTCACTTTGTTTGCAAAAGCTAATAGAGGACTACAAACGTCGAAGTGCCGAGAGCCATGGTTTGACAGCCGATACAAGAAACAGAACGCTCGTTAAGCAGGGACCTATTTCGTTCGCGTAATCTGACCTGACTCGCAGCCTGACAGTCATTCCCCGAATAGCAAGAAACACCGAAAAAATGTCCGCTGGAGTGACTGTTGGAGCACCATGAGTGACCACTTTTGTGCCTCTCGTCGAAAAATGTGAAACATTCGGGAGGGATTTCGGTCAGTAATAAAATTTTTCAGCGCAGATTTAACAACATCATTATCATTACATATTAAATGAAGGTGAGAAACACAGTCCAGCTATTGTGCCGTAATAAAAAGGTGAATATGCAAAAGCAAGGTACTCTACATTAAAGGATACAAAAAATAAAAGGTAACATATTGTTTATTATGCCTCAAAGCAAAGATCGTGGTTGGACGAGGAAGATAAGATGAAATAGGACGGAGCTCAATGAAGTCAGCTCCTCACCAGATCAAAAGTGTATCCACCCTAAAACGTGTCCATTGTCCTTTGAATCTCAGCCCCGCAGTAAAAGAACACCAAACAATTCCAACTTCGAAGTCAGAGCCTCCGTTCCACTTAAACAAATCATCGCTTGATCTCCCATCCATCCACAGACCCAGCGCACATACAACGCACGTCGCAGGATCCGGTGGGCTGGCGTGCGTACAACGCAGGCCAGCCATCGGAGCCTGGTGCGTGAAATAACGGTAGTGAGCGGTTCACTCGCTCTCTCTGCACCAAATACAAGACACTGAACACGCTCACTGTTCACGCGGTGTTCCCACCAGACATGGGCTAAGCTGTGAGGGCAGCGATGATCGAACGTAACAAGCCTCTTCATGTCTCTCGTTCATTCTTTGGTCCGCTCGGCCTTGGTTAAACAGCAACTGCCTTAGCCACATTGGGAAGTGTTCCGCCATCCTTTGAGCCAGCCGGCGATCAGTCTTGCCTATGTAAGTGTCACCGCAACTGCAAGTGAACTGATAGATGATGTTAGAGGCCGAACTGATTGGCGAGCTACTCGGACGGCTCTGGAGAGGAATCCTTCGTGTAGTGTGGATAAGTCGTAGTTGTGCGGTAGAGTAGGTGCACCTACGCACCTACGCAATATCTTATATTCTTCGCGGTGATAAGTTGCAGTCCTTCCTCGATATGCCCCCACCCTTAGTATGAGCGAAAATCCCATACCCAGATCATCCACAATCACGTATCGGCTTCTTTTTTCTTATCTTGAAAGCGTTCTTGCTCCATTCATATTTTTGAAAAGTTACACAGAACGCTTCCTTTTTATGCCATCAGACTTAGGATTTTTTCAGTACTCCATACTTTAATATTTAAGTTTGTGACCTGCATAATCCCCCATACGTTATACTACTTCCATGTCATTTTTCCTGGAGTACTTCTGAAAGACTACATCTTATTGGTTCGCTAAAGCACATTTCTAGCTATAACGGTTTGTCTAGAGATCTTTTGGTTGTTTTGATAATTTCTAGACATGTTGTTGCCTGCAATAACTTCTCTTCCGAGGTACTAGATGATCAGTGGAAACTCCCGCATGCACATTCCCAAAACACTTTTCTGCGCGTTCGCAACTCGAACTGTTTCCTGCAATTTATCTCTTTGTAATAATGTCTTGTTGCTTTGACCCAAGGAAGCAGTTGGACTTGAGCAAGAGAAGGAAACTAATGCACTAGTGAGGTGGAACTAAACTGTACCCAGAGTGAAGGCCAGAAGTGTGGATGGCGCCGAGATCAACCGACTGTGTAACAGGCACTTCGCTGCCGCCAACAACATATCTCGTATGAGGGCCAGCAGCTCCGACGCGGAGCACAGAATAGTTTGCCGATCTGTAGACATCAATTATACGCTTGATCAATCCCAGGACCTATTGAACGCACCCTGAATTGCCTCAGAAACCCCCAGCGATATCTATAAGATTCAAGAGCTTGAAGTCATCAGCAAACAACAGCGAAGGCATCTCAAGCTCCTGGGGTGTCACATAAACTGCAAACAGTAACGTCATAAAACCACGTCCCACGGAAAACCACTGGGAACAGCTTGTCCAAGCGAAAGGCTACGCTTGCATACTATTAACCCGCCCCCTAGAAAAGCAGATACATTTCACGGCACCACCAGATATCCCCTAGGACTTCCACTTTAGTGAGTACTAAATATGGGGAAGTGTCAAAAACTCCCTAGAAGTCAACAGAAAGCATTTCAATAGCTTGGCCGCTGTTCACTGCCTTAGCTCAGCTTTCAGGAGCAACAAGTAAATTTATCATATATGAAAAACACTTACAAAATCCCTGCTGCATAGCTCTGAGGAGGTTAAACCTACTCCGGTGGCTGTCTACTGGATGCCACAACAGATTTTGCAAACTGACTACCACGCTTGTCAGACCGACAAGCCGGCAGTTCGCGGGCAGATTACTGTTACCGCCATTAGAACTTGGCCACATGCTGATCTCCTTCCATTCCGAGAGTAAGGTATAGCTATCAAGCGATTTTAAAGTCACGCATGTAAGAGGACCACTTAGTTCACTGGATAATTCATGTAGCAGCTTCAAATCAATTGAGTCAGAGTCGGAAGTCCTAAAAGGATTTATCACTTTTAACAGCACGAAGACTTGAGTCGCTGTTGTACTAATTTCAGCCACATGCTGAGGCTGATGTTGCATTCTTGATGCTTCTTCACCGCAGTTGGGCTAAACCAACTTACACTTAAACTAGATCTTTTTAAGCTGGATAAATTGCATTCCACTTTATTTGGTTTGTTCTACCTACCTGAATGATGTTCTAGTAACTGGCCACTTTGCTTACGCTATTTGCGCTTATCTTCAGTAATGTTATTGCGTTTGTAGCATTTTTAAGTAAGCTGTGGAGCTTTCTTACTTATCACGGATTCGTTGCTAACCAACTTACTTCATATGGTAATTTAGGGAAGAGTTATGCCACCGTATCTGCATGCATTATTGGATTTATTTTATTTCAGCTTGTCGTTTAAAGTGAATGGCTGTTGTTTGATATCCCCGGTGTGGCTACGCTTGATGTGTATGTTGACAAGGTGCCTACCTGTCTATTACCAACTACCTCGTTCATAGTGGCTACAGGAGACAGTTGGTCGTTACTGGAGGGGAGGAGGTGCACGGTCCTTGTGGCCGTGCTAGGCTTAAAGAGCGGTTCCATGCAGTCAGTGTGGAGCGGACTACGGTCTAGTCACCGCCTTGTGTGCGCTTGATTCCCCAAACACAGCGTGCTTGTATTTGCCTGTGAAGGAGTGTGGGCCGACTCCGTTGATGAAATGTGGCTCCCATCCACATGCCTCCCGGTCTTATTCCTTCGGGTTTACACTGGATATGGGGTGTGTGTGGTTGGAGCTGTGGGTGATGCAGCGCAAGCCACCCATGGTCCCTCTGTAGGCGAAGGCGTCCGGTGGCTGGCCACAGTGACAGGCAAATCCGAAACCGGATGCCGCCAACCATGAATACTCCGAGACTCTTGAGACCATCTCAACCTGTCGTAGTGAGGTCTCACAAGCAGACATTAGTGTCATGTACGCTAAGTATACAAGCCAGATCATTGCCAGTAGGCATACGACTCGCGTGCGCTTACAGGAACGTTGGTATAGACGAATTTGTACCGCTGCGTATCCTTACGTAGGCAAACAGTTTAAGATTAGTTGCGGATGGTTCAGCTAGACCATTCTTGTACTAGAGACTAACTGAGAAACCGTGCCCACAGAAGAACGGGTAATAAAATAAGCATCAACCTATGAAATAGACATAGAGCCATTCAAGCCGCGCCTATACAGTCTACTGAGTAGATAGGTGTCCGTGAAATCGATCACCATCGTCATCATCAATACACGTTGGGTAGGGATGAGAAACCCACCACAACTAATGTGCCGCAATGCAAAAAGAGAGCACATATTACATATTGGAGACAACAAAAACCAAAAAGTAATATAATGCTAAATATCGTATTTGCGTTGAAGATGGGAACGTTATTGGAGGGAGGAGGGACAAAAAAAACTCACAACACAAAAGCTACTGAGGTCGGCTCCTTGTCATGAAATCTAACAAGAAGGCTGTGCCCATGTTTGCCTTTGCATCAAGAGTGGGATATCAGGAGCAGAAACCTCGGTGACATATGACTTGAACTTCTCCCAGTGTCGGCCACGATTTCATAATGTAAAGCTAATGTTTTCGCCTGCATTGCGGTAAAATCCGCTTGCCAGCGGTAACCTAATGAGGCCTAGAAACAGCACATCGAAATGACATGCAGAGATAATCACTGGCGCCTAGAGGTGAGCAATATGTAATGGCACTTATGAAGTCGAGTGACTACAAAAACAAACTCCAAGGTAGACGGCAGCTGGGTGCTCGTGTACCTAGTGAGGAGATGCACGAACAGATGCAAAGGGAGTTACCAAAAATGTCCGCCACACAGTTGCAAGGAGGATCATCCCAACATACTTCAAAGTTGCTGAAGTCATCCAGCACCACACAAGCAATGGCAGTCTAAGTCCAAATAAGCTTCATGACCTCTGTGGAAGTACTTCCAGAACTTCGACATACCACGACCCCAGACAGAGGCAGAGGCATATCCCTGCCGATAGAGCTTTAACAGCTTTATGCAACAACAAAAAGGCATGTCCGCAAAATGTACCGTTTACAGGTGACATACAGGGCAACACCCCGCCTTACCGGCCAACAGAGCAATCACATCTAAGGAGCACGTGGCCAGGTAGACACACTTTACCATCCGTGACATCTGTGATAAGCATTTCTCAGTGAAAGCAAGTATGTCGGGACTAGATTTTTCAACAAGCAAACACACCTGGGGCAACTTGTTCCTTAGGCTAAGTACCTTGCTGAGTACTACCTAAGAGAACTCCGTACGACCTGCCCTGAGTCGTGCGCTACCACCTGAAAACTCATAAGACGGAGGTCTTGGTTACAAGCAACCCGCCCGTTTTCGTAGTGTTTGATGACCTTCATCAACGTCGTCCTGTCTATCCGTGGAAGACATAGCTGAAGGCTGATATTATCACCCTTGTGTTCGAATACAAAACGTAGTAAGGCTTTGCACTCTTCCAGGCTAGAAAGAACCGCACGAAGTAATTGGGGTCGCGGATTTGACTTACCTATAGGGACATTCCCTAGTCTGGTCAGTTTGCTAGCAGGTGGAAGGGGCTCAGTAACGCGCAGTTTGAATCACTGTACGTGGTCCAGCATGGGTTCCCTGAGTAGAGCTGCCACAGATTCAGCAACATTTCGGCAAATAACACTGCTTTCGGTAAAAGAATCACTCTGCAATTTTTCGACTACACACCAAGTTCAATCAGTTTGACGGTAGGTTGCACTGCACGTTTCCCTATTGCAATAGCTAGGGTAATGGGTGTTGGAGCTTTGCTCTCCGTCTCCAGCACCTCGGTTTTAGTCCCACAAGGTTTAGTGGAAGGTTTACATTTTCTTAGTCTTCTTCCGAGTATGTGACCTAAATTGGGTCTGCCTTTGAGCGGAGTCGAATACGCTATCACAGAGAAGCTCTACAGCTTCATTGTTGGGGGCGTGAGCATTCGACACAGCAACCATCACCTCAGGCGCATTCTAACAGACCGTAGATGAAATAAGCTGGTGTCACCGCCTAATGGGCCAATATCCATGGAGAACCCAAGAGCATCTATGAGTAAGTCGATTTTCGGGTATTCGTTTCCCAGCCAGAGATTAACTGATGTTTAATGTGTGACAACAGGATGAACACGCCGGCGGCTGGAGAAATCAACGCAACTAAACACCAAGCTATCACTGGTCGACAGCATTGTGTATTGGTCATGATACATGGCAGTACAGCGGTAGCACCAGCGGTAGCATACATTATACTGAACGTCACCGGGATCGTCCGTCGCGGGCTTTGAGCAGCTTTCGCTGCCATACATAGAAGGCAGATTCGGCGTCTAAGTCAGTCAAAAGCACAATAGTGCAGAGATGGAAAATTCAAGAGGCCATTGAGACAGATGAAAAAGAAATTACGGCGATGAACTAATGTCGTTTGCCATTTAAAGCAGTTTAAGTTGCTGTTCAAGTTCAGGTGGGACTGCAAAGAGCATTGAATCCCGTGAGTGTTCCTTCTTGAACGGACCGTGGAGCCAGGAGTTGATAAGGTGCCCCGAGGTCTTGGTGACTCTAAAACGAAACACCCGAATCACATTATAGTCAAAGAATTACTGCCCACGTTTCCTGCAATAGCAGTCACTTTTGCCGCAGTTATGTGAAGTAAGGAAGGGATAGGAAGAGAAACCGATGGTAAAGAATGAGGAAGGTCATAAGAAGAACCGATAATATCAAGGCGTGAGGGATAGTACAGAGAAGAAAAGCGTGGTATGAAGATGGGTTTGTCAGGAGAAGGGGAAGTCTTAGTGCTGCCACCCAACAGCGTCTAGTTGACGCTCAAACCGCTTAGCCGTTGATTTCCTACCAATATTCTCTGGAAGCGTGTCCCAGGGCGTTGGATGACTCTGCGCGATAGCCGAGTTTCCGCCCTAATTCCGTCGGACCGCGGTTTGTCCAGCTTCGTGGAATGCCCGCGGAGACCACACAATCCAGCAGGACTAAATGACTAAGACAAACCAGAGCCAGCCTACCAAGATACGGTAGATTAGGACTAAATCTATCCTAATTCTTCGGTAGTATATTGAATGCATTAACAGACTAAGTAGGCGTTCAGAGTACGTTAGTCTAAGTAGCCAATCGACCGACCTAGCAACCAACAGCAAAATGCTCTTCAGCTCAATTTAACAGAGAAGCACCTAGCCAAAAGCCATAATTTCAAACTGCACCATGCAGTTAAAGAACAGACAATTCGACCTTAGAGAAAAAATGCTAGAGGCAAAAACCATTTGAAGGAACTCACTTCGGGAGAAGAATCGCATTTCCAATTGCAAAAGGAAAGGAGAATGCACAATTTGGACTTAACATCAATGTGGCAAAAAGCAGAGTCAATTAGTCGTAATTTCTCCAAAGTAAGTGTCGATGGGTCAACATCTCTTGCCCAGTGATTATCAAAGAAATGCTGACGGACGAATTTTTGCAGGTCGCCCATTCGTCGGACTGCTTGGTGTAGTATGCGTCCGGCCGTGGGTTCCGAGGACTTCCGTGTCCAGTGCGTACGTATGTCGTAATAGGCTAGAGTAGCTGCAATGGAAAGCAAATGCCTCGTAGGTGGCTGGATGCTCATAACACAACCATCTAGCAAGAGAACCCACAAAAGCCAATGTGAAGGAAAAATGAAAAGATCAATAACCATCTACGCAAGGTACAACGATCTCCTTCTTTAGGGATCACGGCAAGTTCAGGTTAGGACCAGCTACACTATCCCTGCTGTTGACAGGCGCTGTCCTCAGAGTCTACAGCAGCTCCAGTCGGTTTCGACCTGCTGATGAGTGCAGTGTGCTTGGTTCGAGGGATTCCGCAACAAGCTGTGTGGTCACAGGAAAGTCAATGACAACGTCAGTGGCAACAATCCAGCTTCAAGGAACGTTTTTGGAAGCAGGCAGGATCATCGAATATGCAATATGCGTCTAGTCGATAATCTGCAGATGTGCGAAACAAGCGATGAGCGCAGTGTGCTAGGTTCGAGAGATTCAGCGACTGTGACATTCTCCAACAAGACCTCGACCGCCTCGCAGTATGGTCTGCTGAAGTCCACCTACCGGTCAACCCGGCAAAGTCCCTATTCATGAGTCTCGGGAAGGCTGTTCACGGACGAACGTACACCCTAGACGGCCAACCACTGCATCCCACACCTTCCGTGAAAGACCTAGGTGTACTCTCACGCTGCGACTTGAAGTCCGTCGACAACACCAACAAACTGTATCGAAACGGACTGCGCATGCTCTGGGCGCTGAAACGCGCTTCTGCACTTGGTCTGAGGACGTCGCCACTCGCCTCTTCTCTTCCATCGTCAGACCAATGGTAGAGTACGGCTCGCCTGCATATTGTCCGATCACTCGCGGCGAAGCGCAAAAGATCGAACGAGTACAACACATCGCCACCAAGTTGATCCCCAGCTTGAGAGGCTTATCGTATGAAGACCGGTGCATGAAACTTGGGCTCTACACCTTGTCATATCGCCGTGTTCGAGTGGATCTTATCATGACCTACCGTATTTTACATCTCGGTCATTTCCCCATGCTAAGGTCGCTACTCCACTTGCGAGTACCATGCACCACACGTGGGCACAGGTACAAACTCGTGGTACCTGATCTGAAGAAAATCCCACACCCCCTGTGTTTCGAGCGGAGGGTTGTGCACGCCTGGAACAGTCTGCCAGAACACGTCGTCGAGGCTGAATCTGTGCAGAAATTCAAATCTTTGTTGGATGTACACTTCGCTAACATACGTTTCAGAGAACGGTTGCCACTTGACAACGATATCACCCACTTGTGACTCACTGTGTAAACAAGCATTTTGTGTGCTACAGAAGGAGTTGCTGAACCATCTCAGGATAAATACCGGACGTGTTTATTTATTTTTTTAAAATGTTTTTTGATTATCACCCGATGGAGTTGTACAGAATTATTTTCTACTTGCTCCAAAATACAGTATTCAGTATTCAGTATGGTCACACGAACCGCTGTCGCGAACTGGTAGGGTCACCAAATGTGTAGTATACGGACGCTCGTGAATTTCGAGGGTTTTCATGTCCAGCATGTACGTAAGTTATAGAAACCTTGGAGAGCTGCAACGAAAAGCAAATACGTCCTAGATTGTTGCACAGTGTCATGACGGATTTCGATCCCCGCCGCTGAACCTTCTCTATCGGAACGCACTCACCTTTCGTGACAGGGTAGGATACTGGCAATCCGTACGCAAGAATTGATCGAACATGAGAGCTGAAGAGAAGTCGGAATATCTCTGGAGTCATCTGAGAAAACAATCACCTTATAGAAAAAAAACATTCTATTAGCAGCGGCAAGTTTCTTTAAGGTGTCTGGAGTCGTGTGTAGGTTTGGCGAGACAAGAATTCCAAGGTTGCCTTCCTGAACAGGAAGTCCGCAATGTGATAAGCATCACACGGGTCTGTCCGGGAGAAAGTAAGAAATGCCTTGGAAATGCACTATCTTAGCGATTAATCGATTATTAACGATTATCGCATCGATTTCGAACGTTCCGGAATGTTCTGCTTCTGTACGTGATTAAAATCCACCTGACCCCTCGGCAAAAGATATGGGGAACGACTAACCTTGGTAGTTGACCTTCCAATTCTAGAAGTCGAAGGTCAGTAGAGACCTATAAATACAGCCAAGGTCCGCAGTCGTTGTACAGAGTTCGTTGACGACGATTAATACGTTATTTTGGCAAGGTCATTGGCGTTTTTGTTTTTTTCTTCGGTTGGGCCAGTTTTGTGGAGCAGTGAATTGTTATTTTTGGAGTTGCATCTAGTGAGAAGATTATAACAGGGTCCAAGGCACCAATTGGGAAGACACTTCGCATGGCCAACGGGTAGCCGCCACTCCGTTGATCAGCAGTGCAACCGGTCCAGCGTTGTCAATAGCAGCAACATCAAGCTTGGACATCGCTAGCCACAGTTTCAGATCATTAGCATATATGAGATAATCAGTTTGGAGCTCAGATGGAAGATTACTGGTGTGGATTTTGAAGAGCTCAGCACCAAGGACAGAGCCCTGTGGGACCGCGCTGAGGATGAGTACAGGCATGCAGGAAAGTTCACTTTAACTTTCATGCCTCGATCATTCGGAAAGTCAGCGACCCAAGAGAGAATCTTCCCAAAAACGCCAATTCCCCGAGAATCGAAGTACGAAAATGGAAAAAGAAAGGTTTCGTGTTACCATCCAGGAACATCTAGTTGAGGCTCAAACCCCTTAACCATAGATTCCTTGACATCTGGAAGCAAGTACCAGTGCTTGATTACTCGACGCGATAACCGTGTCTCCGCTCTAACTCGATCGGACCGCGATTTGTAAAGTTTCATACAATGCCCACAGGACAAATCAGGACCAAAATTCGCAGTCAAAATACGGTAAGTTGGGACTATGTCCCCTATAATCCTTTGGTGGTGCATTGGATGCATACCCACATTAAGTGGACGTTCGGAGTACGCTTGCCCTCCTAACCTCTCGATCAACCTAGCATCGACAAGCAAAACCCGTTCTAGTGCCATTTTGTCCCAGAAAAAACATGGTGGACAGGCCTCGACGCTGCTGCCCTGGCCGTGTACAATACGGAGGATGAGTCACCGAGATTATCGAGATCCGTACCTGCAACTGGGTGTACCACGCCCACACCAAATCGAAGCCGCACTCTCTCCACTACGTCGGCCGATTCACTACCTCCCAGTAAGATAATGTGTCGACCAGAAAACAAGCCCAAGACGTATGCTGTCGTGGCTAGCGCCACAGCTCCAACAACAACCAACATGAGCCCAGCTGCAAACAAGCCACCACAGAAGCTGGCCTCTAAGCCCAAGGCGAAACCCAACACCTGGGATAACTCTTCCCTAGTGAAGGGTAATGTGACCTCAACCTTATACAGTCAAAGCCCAGTCACTAATACCGTCAATTCTAATCCGAAATCCGGGAATAAACGCAATCCTAAGCTTTCAGCTTCTCAGTTGCAAATGAAGCTAGTGCTCAATAGACTTTGAGCTGCAGAAAGTGCTTAAGGATAATCCGTCCTCTCGCATGCCGCAATACCCTGAGCGCACTCCACCTTCTCGCGACCGTTGCCCCATCATTATGAACGCGATTAAACAGAACAAAATCACCAAAGCGGAATGCTGGATGACTAAATACTACCCGAGCGGTTGATCTCTTAGTTATTTGATGAAGACGAACAAAGAATTAACGTCGTTTCTGCATTCCGACTCGGTAGCAAGCAAGAGGATTCACCGAAAGTTCGCCCTTCAAAGTCGTGTGCCAAACAGAAGAGAAATGACGACGTATTCTGCGACGGACCTGGCGTCTCAAAGATGAGCCGTATGACGTCATCATATCATATCATTATACACATCAGCTACAGGTGAAAAACACCTCAGCTACTGTGCCGCAAAACATAAAGGAAAAGGAAAATAAATATAACAGTTGCATTCCAGCTGGGCTACCAGCTACCAGGTTTCGCGACCGTACAGTAGGGTCGAACGTACCGCTGCATTGTACACTCCACCCTTCAGGGAGAGAGTAATGTCGCGCCGATGCCATAAGTGGCGAAGGTTAGCAAAAGCACTTCGAGCTTTCGCTATACGGTTCGTGACCACGTCTTCGATCCCAAGGGCGCTGATACCACTTCCCAGGTAGTTGAATTTCTGAACGACTTCTAGCTGATCCCCACCAACGGTCAGCGTAGGAGGCGGTCCAGACCAATCTCGGAGGAACGCTTTGCATTTCGATGGTGCAAAGCAAAGCCCGAAGCGGCTGACAACCAGTGCTAATCTATCCAGCTCGGCTTCGCACGTCTGGAAGCTGTCACAGATGAGGGCAATGTCGTCTGCATACTCTAGGTTGATAAGTCGTTCTCCTGGGAGTAGCTCCACACTTACCAAATCATGTCCTGTAAATGTAATCTCCATGACTTCGTCAATAGCGAAGTTGAACAGGAAAGGTGACGGTGATTATTCTCGTCTCACACCGCTGGAGATATTGAAGGGTGGCGACAGCTTGCCGTAAGCTCACACTTTGCCCGTGCTACGCATGTATAATGCTCGGATATTTACATATTTCTCAGGTACACCTTTCCTTCCAAAGGGCACATCAATCAACCGAACCGAAGGCACTTTTGATGTCGAGGAACACGACTACGGTGGGTCGTCAAGAAACATGGCTCCAACAACTGACGCAAGGTGAAGATGTGGTCGATGCAGACACGACTCCGACGAAACCCGGCTTGCTCCTCACGAATCTCGCTATCACGAGCGCGTCTGTGAAGGATTATGGAAGCGAGTAATTTGGAAGCGATGGAGATCAGACTGATTCCTCTATAGTTGCGCAATTCCGCACGCGAGACTCCTTTGAAGATGGGAACAATAATGGGGCGGCTCCAGTTGGTTGGGACAGTCTCCTGCTCCCACAGTTTCATTAGTAATTC